ACAAGGTTAAGTACAACTCAGACGGTTCTGTTAAAAGGTATAAGACTCGTTTAGTGGGTAAAAGTTTTGCACAAGAGGAAGGGATTGACTTCATGGACACATTTTCCCTGGTTGCGAAGTTAACCACTATCAGGCATATTCTTGCTTTCCTTCAATTGGACTCTTGTCCAACTCGATGTCAATAATGCTTTCCTTCACGGAGAGCTACTTAAAGAGGTTTATATGCACCTTCCCCCTGGGTACAACATCGTTCTCTTCCTTCTAATGTTGTTTGTTGACTTCACAAGTCCTTATATGGCCTTCGCTAGGCTTCTTGCCAATGGTTTGCGAAATTTTCTTCTACATTGTTGCAACTTGGTTTCATCTAGTCACAATCTGATTACTCTCTCTTTGTTCGTCCTACGAACTCTTCTTTTCTCTTTGTTCTAGTATACATTGATGACATAATTGTTGCTTCTAACAATTCTGATGAGGTGCAGATTCTTACTGATACTTTACACAACAAGTTCAAGTTAAAGAATCTTGGTTTTTTAAATATTTCCTTGGTCTTGAAGTTGTTCATAGTACCAAAGAAATTATTGTTTGTTAACGTCAATATGCTTTGGGGGTCCTCAAGGATTCTAGTCACTTAGGCTGCAAACCACGCAATACTCCAATGGATGCTGGTCTCAAGCTTTCCTCAAATGAGGGTGATCTTCTTTCTGACCCTTCTATGTACCGTCGCCTTATTGGACACCTGCTCTATTTGACTATTTCCAAGCTTGATCTCAGTTATGCTATCAATCATCTTAGCCAGTTTATGGCTTCTCCTCGACTTTCTCATCTTCAGGCTGATCGTAGACTTCTTGGTTATGAGAAGCATACTATTGGGCAAGGTTTTTTCTTCTTTTCTTTGTCTTCTATTCAAATGAACGCTTTTTGTGATTCTGACTGAGCTGCCTGCCCTAATAGCCGTCGATCAATTTATAGTTTTTGCATTTTTATTGGTGATTCTCTTATCTCTTGTAAGTCTAAGAAACAAACCACTGTGTCCCGGTCATCCACAGAGGTAGAGTACTGTTCCATGGCCAATGTTACTTGTGAATTTTTGTGGCGGTTTGCTTTGTTTAAAGATCTTCATGTTTTGCACCAAGGATCTACTCATCTTTTTTGTGATAATCAGTCTGCTTTGCATATAGCTGCTAATCCGGTGTTCCATGAACGTACGAAGCATGTAGAGATTGACTGTCATCTTGTCTGTAAACACATCCTCAAAGGTCACTTAAAGACATTTCAAATACCTTCTTCCAAGCAACTTGCCGATATCTTTACCAAGCCCTTGTTGCCTTCAAAGTTCTCAGTTTTGTTATCTAAGATGGGAGTTTTAAACATACACTCTCCACATTGAAGGGGCTATTAGTGTATACATGTATTTTTTTATTCCTTGTGTTATATTATTATTTTACCGTTGCTTTGTTTTTTCTGTTTTTACACACGAATGCATTCTGTTAGCAAGGTAATGCATTTTGTTATTATGTTAGGTGGGTCCCCTTTTGTTTTCTGTTACATTTTTCTCTTTCATAGGTTGATATATATATATGGTTTTTGTAATTCCTTCTTCTTTAATGAGAAATATACTCTTCCAGTTCATTTATTTCCTTTCACTGTTTTTGGTTTCTGGTTTATCATAATCAATATGGATCATTAAAATTACATATGATCTGGTGATGTAGAAATTTTATTTCTATTTCTTTTATTAATGATACTTATTTTTTTCTCATATTAAAATTTTAGATGACCTAGTCATGTGTCATAAATAGGATCACAAGGACCATTTAAGCAGAAATCTACCGACAATATAACAACTATAATTCGGATAATTCCAAATTCCTGTAATATAGAAAAATCTAGACAAATAATGTATCTTTATTCCCAGACTTAGAATTCATCCATGATTTCCTACGTAATTTGGCTCAGTGACAATTCTTAACATAATCAAACCTGTTAACTTTAACTTACAGCACATAATACAGATATCTAAAATACCTTATGTACTGAACTATGGCTATGCCAATACCCACATACATACTGAAATTCATAAGCATCATAAATAAATGTGCACAAGGTTATATATGCCTCTCAAAATAGATATCAAATATAAACATGCATGATCACTATTCATGCCTCAAAATAATTATATACAAGACACACATGTAGCTAAGTATATAATCCAGCTCCATCTCTAGTCACTATGCACATGCCTCTTGCCCTGAAATAATTGATCAATAGCTGCTAGAGTACCTGAAATGTAAATCTCCAAACGGGATGAGATTTTCACTATCTCAATAAATTCAAAATTTATATAAAAGTCTCTACCTATGAATTTACTTCCTACATGAAAAATTAGATACATACCATACATTATACAATCATAACGGGAGAGTGACCATTTTGCCACGTTTAGACAAAAAAATTACCAGAATGTCACGCCAACAGTAAATTTTGTCAAAATGCCACGCGGCATAATTCGCTACACAGTGTAGCGAATTATGTACGCAAGTAATTCGCTACACAGAGTAGCGAAATATGCCACGTCAGAGCCAAAAATGCCACATGTCAAATTTTGCAAAATTCGCTACCCTATGTAGCGAATTTTGCAAAATTTGACATGTGACATTTTTGGTTCTGTGCGTTCTGACGTGGTATATTTCGCTACACTGTGTAGCGAATTACTTGCATACATAATTCGTTACACTGTGTAGCGAATTATGACACGTGGTATTTTGACAAAATTTACTATTGACGTGACAGTCTGATAATTTTTTTGTCCAAACATGACACTTTAGTCACTGTTTCCAATCATAACTAATATCAGAGCATGTCAGACTTTATAACCCGCGTAGAAAATTGCTTTAACTTCTTGATATAATAAAAGCTTATTGTACACGGGCATAGCTTTTTTTAGTACTAGGCGTAGCTTTAGTTTAAAGCAGACCTTATCTTTGGTTGAATGCGACATACCATACCCACTAGGTCACTAGTCCACTACATAAACAAGTGAATAGTTTTTACTTTTTTATTTTTTATATATACATACCGGATGATACAAATGCAGAATTAATAACGTTAACTCCAATAAATTTTTTATCGAATAAAACAAATCTCGGTCCCGCCGCCTCCCACGTGCTGCTTCGTACGACACAATATTTATGTACATGTATTCATTCATATCGTTGAATGACAGCTGGCAAACAAGGACTGGACCGACAGGTCCAATTATGAAATTAAATCGTATATTTTTTTTCCGAAGTACTTATAATTGCTATGACTGAAGTACTTATAGGAACAAATCAGGGAAACTATTGTAATTTATTCCTTTCGGAAGTGCTTATGCTGAATTTTTCAAATTCAGGCTAAAGGATTTTAATTTTTTAAATTTTGTAAATAAATTCTTGGTAAAGTGATTAAACTAAAATTAATCACCATATAATTTACGGATGCGGATTAATATGCTTACTTTTACTTGGGAATTCGAAACGTACAAAAAAAAATGTTACTCAATACATAATAATAACATTTGTTGATGGGGATATTTAAAAATGGGTGCGAATTGCATTAAAAGTTAATGAGTGCTGATAAAGAACATATAGACAGGCTAACTATTCATTTATAGGCCATATATAACATAATCATTATAAATTTAAATTACAAATTCAAAATATAATATTATCACGATTCAATCAATTCTCTTAACACATTTGGCAGAACTAGCCAAAAAATATTAGCCATTACCAAAATCTTGCACCTTAAAATTCTAGCCCGTATCATTTTTTTTATTTGTTTTACATAGCTACTAAATTTTAATCCTTACCCATACTAAATTCTAAAAAATTAGAAAATTAGTTAGGGCCCCACAATATAGTAAACAACAAGACGACACTAACGAGTAACGACACTAATACATAACAAATGAGTGTCCTGTTCCTGACAAAGATTTGTTAAATAAATTGGCAAGTTGGTTAAGGGAAGGAATGTGAGAGACATCGATCATTATTTTAAGCCATTTAATAATCTAACTTTAGATGGAGTAATGAATTTTTTTTTACATAAGCTTTAAAAATCCTGAAGGTATATTCTTTGAATATGAAACTTAACTAACTATGTCTGTTTTTCCTATTTTAAGATAACAAACTCAACTTATATTATAAACCAGATTGCAGTTCAATTTAGGCTAAGTATATAAGATTAAATGGTGATGTCAGAAATTTAATCATTCACTCATAGTTGTTAAAATCTCGATTTATCACTATTATTTTACGTTTTCACGATTTTTTTTTATCAAAATGATTTTATCAATATTCCAAATGCTTTTATATTTTTATGATTTTTTACGATTTTTTTATATTACGATTTTACGTTTTACGATTTTTTAAACCCCTTCCAATTTTATTTAAAATCTCGATTTTAACAACATTACATTCACTCTGGTTTCAATTTCTCTCCGTATCTATATCTATCTGCTCGCGATTTATACATTCACCCCCCCCCCCCCCAATGGCATGATTGAATTTTATATTTTTTGTTATATTTTAATTTATTCATTTCTTCGCGACTAGATCGATTCAATATGCTTCCAGTGATTAAGATTTTAAATCCTTCCCAAAGACGATATTGAAAAGGATCAAACATATATTCTCACTCTGTCTGCTCAATTTTCTGACGCCAACTAAATTATTATCATTTATTCATGATTTAAAATTTTGAACCCCTAAGAAAGCGTTTGGTACAAGAATTTTGGCCGGATTTTCGAGAAACTGAATTTTTTTAAATTTTAAATTTTTGAATATTATCATAAACTGAATATAAAAATTATATTTTTGAAAATCAAGATTCTCGGTCAAAAAAAATATTTCTTGTCTAACATACTCCCCCTAAATGTAGGGACATTGCATTCATAGGCAATGTGTCTCTATAAATAGAAGCTCCTTATCTTTGGTGTATTGCAAGCGCCACAGGCTCGGAATTGAATATCAGAGACAAAGAAATGAACTCCCTTCGTTTCGAAGTGATAGCTCTGTGCTGTGTGGCGATTGTGCTTGGAGCACTACCCTTCTCCTCAGATGCACAACTAGATCCCTCGTTTTACAGTTCTACATGTCCGAATGTTCATTCCATTGTGCGTGATGTGATTAAAAATGTTTCAAAATCAGATCCGCGTATGCTTGCAAGTCTCATCAGGCTCCACTTTCATGACTGTTTCGTTCAAGTACGTTTGTTCACTTGATTATTTCTTCATCACTTTACCTTTAATTTGTTGTCATCATCAACTCTCTTTGTGTATATATATTCATTTTATAGCTAATAATTTCCCCTGTTTCACTTACTACAAAACAGAAACATTTTCCATTTAATTTGATTATATGTTATCCATGCTTGTGTCAGGGCTGTGACGGTTCACTTTTGTTGAACAACACCGCTACGATCGTGAGCGAACAAGGTGCTTTTGCAAATAACAACTCAATAAGAGGTTTGAATGTTGTGAACCAGATTAAGACAGCTGTTGAAAATGCTTGTCCTGGCGTAGTTTCTTGCGCTGATATTCTTGCCCTTGCTGCTGAAATATCTGTTGTTCTGGTATGTCCCATCCTAATCTATAGTACTGAAATCAATGTCTTGTAAAATGTTGAATGCCATTACTTTTCACTTTCTAGTTTATAAAATATAATACTCAAATCAAGATAAACTTTATCATGTTGGAGCGCGTGTTTTGTAATTGTTGATATTATCAAAATTGTAATCTTTCGTTACGGCAAATTGGTATATACATCGGAATCGATGTGCATGAAAGAAAGAACGCGTTCTCTTTAAAATATCACTTTCACTTTAGCTAATCGACAATGAGAGGTTTTCATGTTAAAAAGAAGAAGAGGGATTTCCTTTCAGTATACCTTTCTATTAGCATTTATAATTTGTGTCAACTTTGATTTTTAACTCACATAAGAAAGTAGCTTTTGCTTCTAAAGAATCACTTTTAGTTTCATCATTTTCAAAAATTCTCTGTTTTTATATATATATTTTTGGCCAATTTTAACACACATAAATTAATTGACTGTTTAAGAAGAGAGAAGATAAAAATGAGTTGATGAAATAGTTAAAACAAATCATTAGCAACTAGTAAGGAAAGTCCATTCGCAGCCATATGTGAAAATTAAATACTACTATATTCGTATAGGGTGTTGAATCAAAGTCTAAGTTGAAAAAGAGTTTTGCTTTTACATTATCCATTTTAAAATTTATAACTATTCGCAGGCAAATGGTCCTGATTGGAAAGTTCCTCTGGGAAGAAGGGATAGTTTAACAGCAAACCAAACTCTTGCTAATCAAAATCTTCCAGCTCCTTTCTTCAACCTAACTCAACTTAAATCCGCCTTTGCTGTTCAAGGCCTCAACACTACTGATCTAGTTGCACTCTCAGGTATGAAAAATTTGACCCTTCGGAAAATTAACCTCAATTCAAAAAAAAAAAAATGGTAACTCAATAAATATGTGATTGTTTATGCTTTATTTTTTCAGGTGCTCATACATTTGGCAGAGCTCACTGCAGCTTATTCGTTAGCCGATTATACAATTTCAGTGGCACTGGGAATCCTGATCCAACACTCAACACAACTTACTTGCAAACACTTCGTGCCATATGCCCCAATGGTGGACCTGGTACTAACCTTACCAATTTTGACCTAACCACACCTGATACATTCGACAAGAACTACTACTCCAATCTTCAGCTTCACAAGGGCTTGCTTCAAAGTGACCAAGAGCTATTCTCAACTTCAGGTGCAGATACCATTGACATTGTCAACAAATTCAATAGTAACCAAACTCTTTTCTTTCAGAGGTTTGCGGCATCAATGATAAAAATGGGTAATATTGGAGTGCTAACAGGATCTCAAGGACAAATTAGAAAACAATGTAACTTTGTTAATGGAAATTCTGCTGGACTTGCTACTCTGGCCACCAAAGAATCTTCAGAAGATGGCATGGTTAGCTCAATCTAATTGATCTAACAAATTAAAAGAATGTAACAAATTGCTGTCCATATATGCTGGATATGTAATGGAGAGATGAAAAGGTATCGAATAAAGAGTCGTTTAGGCACATACATGACATCTGCCTGTGGTGGATTGTGAGATGTTTGTACTTTGTACACCTTGGGTCACCTGTTACTACTCTGTTTGTAAGATTTGATTTCTTATGTTATGAGAATTATGTGACATATAATGTTGGGAAAAGATATATACTTTTTTTTTGTTTTGGTAAACAAAGATATATATACTTTTACTGGCATTTGACGAAGGAGAATTTTTTTTTTTTTATGGGAATATATTGAAAATTTGAATTTCATAGTAATATATGTTATTAAAAAATTATTTGGTAGACAAAAATATTTTAAAAAATGTGAGCTCAAGTTTCATGTTTTTACGTTTGGTTTATTGTCAATGATTCTCGAACATGTGAACTGATTTTATAAAGTTAACCTTTGATGAATTTAAAAAAAAAAAAAATTCTAATATGCCCCGTATGGGTGAAAACACAGTGTTGGAGATATATTAAACCCAAAATTTCGAAACCAATTCGACCGTTCTCAATTTTCCAAAATAGCTACGGCTTTAACAAGAGACAATATTTTAGTCATAAAAATATTAAAGCAGAGTTATTAATGTCTTACAAATTATTTAAAAAAAATTCACCAGATTTAAATTCAAGAATACCATCCACCTGGTGATTTTATTTCATGATATTCTTATTCATAATTTTAATTCCCAAAAATTTTATTTTCTTAGGAAAATTTTAAAGATTATTGTACCAAACGTCAACAACTAGAGTTCTTAATGCGAGTTTTTGTGAAATCTAAAATTTATCCCTTTATCAAATTTTCATTTAGTGGAAGCCTACGAAGCACCGACACTTCAAAATTTCTGACGTGTCGTGTCCGACATTTCCCGACACTCCGACACTTTCTAACACTCCAATACTCGTTGCAAAAACTAAAAAAAGATTCAAAAGTTATGTTGCGTATTATTTTGAGTTCAAATTATTAGATTTGTTATATTACGGTTACTATTTTATTGAGTTTAATATAAATATTTGAGATATCTTATGTTTCTTTACAAAATTGATGGGTATTATAAGTTTAGCTTAATTTTTTTATTAAATTATTGAATATTAAATATAATATACACTACATAAATTAAAAATATTATATAATATCAAAACGTGTCCTAACGTGTCGAAATTTAACATTTTTTAAAATTAACGTATCGAAGTATCCTATCGTGTCGTATCTCGTGTTCCGTGTCGGTGCAAGATAGGTGAAAGCTGCGCTATTTGATACCCTGCTGCGGACGAACTGTAACTACTAATTCGTATCACCAATCGTTATAATTTATATTGTTTTTTAATCTTTTGATAAGAACCGATATCACCTAATTATGGGGGTTAATAAAATATAATTCAAAAGCTTGAATTCAAACATGTCCGGCTACTTGATTTGATTTTAGCCTAATGGAGTAATATCTGAGCAACCGGGCACTAAAAGTCTATAGATTTATATTTGATCCTAACTGAAAGTTTGAGTATGTGGTTTATATATATCACATGGTTCTAGATGTTTTTCTTACTAAAAGAAGTTTAGCTGTCCAAGTTAGATGTATAAAGCAAGCATTTTTTCCACACTTTGTCCTTTCTTCATGCAAGCAACTAGCTACGCAGACAAAAAAGACGACCGACAAAAGAAGGTTTGATTTCATCCCAGACGATCTCGAGTCTCAGATTTTTTGCTTCTTCCAAGTATAGAAGTAATGTGTAAAATATTACGTGGTTTACGAGCCCTTTACCTAAATATTTAAGTTTCTTAAGTAACTAATTATATAATAAAACTCAGCGTAAGACAAAGCTCCCACATTCAATATTGGAGATTATTGGAAGCAAGATTTACTTGAGGCGCGCAAGCTTCCTAATTTGACTCATCATTAATGTCTTTAATAGGCTAGTTGTATTCAATACATGTGCACTAGCTAGTTGTCTTTTACCCTTGACATAAAAATGAAGATCTTTAAATTAACAGGAGTTTTATAGTTATAATTGAAAATTAATAAGATATTTTTTTAAAAATTTAATTCCTATATTTCATTGTATTATAATTTCAAAAAATGATATTATAAGAATAAAAGACACAAAAATTATTTTATATATATATATGAACCTTTATATATAGAGAAAATAAAATAAAATTATCTCCTATAATTTTAAAATAACATCATTTTGGGATTTGAAAAAAATATACTAGATATTTTAGAAATTTTATTTCTCTTTCACAACTTTAATTTTTTCAAAATACTCTATGTTTTTCTTTAAACCCCCAAATCATATAAACTTGAGTTTGAAAATTTAACTTCATCTTCCATAACAATACAAACTCTAAACCATTAAATTGACATGTCATTTGTCATCTTTAGCTCTCTTGTCCCTTATGTGCTTTTGGGTTTTTTTACTATTGTGCCCCTTATTAATTAAAAAATAACCAATTTGTCCCTCACCCAAAACATTCCGCCAATATGCTCCTGTTTGATCGTTGATTGAAAGTTTAATCCATCACTTCACGGGCGTAATCGATTACACATTCAAAAAAAGCTTTGATCGTTGACCCCGTTATGTAATCGATTACACTACAATAGTGTGTAATCGATTACTTAATGCCCAAAAACCCTATATTTATATGTCTCGGTCTTATTTCATTACACCAAAACCTCTCTCGTTTCTCATCTCTAATCCAACTCATTAAGAGGCTATTTCATTCCACAATCTCTAAAGCCTTAATCTTGTGTAATAATTGTCATTACACTTACATATTCCATTTTTTGATAAAATTCGAACCCTAGTCCCAATTTTTTGTAGAAGAAGAGCTCAAGTTCAAACACCTATGTTACACTTACCTACCATAATGGGAGGCATTTTGAAGGTTTCAATGGCGTCTAATTTGAAGAAAAAATGAAAATGATAAAAATCAAACGGGTCACTACATATAATGAGCTTAAGGGGAGAATTTACCAAAAACTGGGGCTACAAGGCAACCAATGCATTCACCAGTTGACAGCCAAGATAAAGACTATAGTTGGTAAGAATATTGTATACTACATTAGTAATGATATCTGTGATGATGAAGATGTGGAGTGTGTCATAGATGCAATTGCCGACCGAAAATTACAAAATTTTATTGAGATATATGTCGAAGTTGATTCTGGTCAGTCTTCATCTTTACCCATGTATACAAGAACTCCATAATATTTTGGTTAAGAAGATAGAGTTGTCAGTTTATCTGCACCTGCACAAGTGTTAAGTCAGATAACATTGCGGGAGAGAGATGAGGATGAGGAGCAGGAGGAGTATATGGACAACGATGAGGAGGGAGAACTTGAGAATGTTATTCAACTAGGTGACACCTCAGGTACTGGCGCAGATGATGATTTTGACGCTGACACGAACCCAGTAAACCTGAGTTCTCCGATTATGTCACCACTTCATGTTGACCCAATTAGTAGTGATAAGTTAGTAAATTTCAATTTTTATTTAACATTTCATATTTGTGTTGTTAGAGATTATGCCATTTTGGAATAAAAGCTAGCATTATTCCTTCATTAATTGGGTGCACCCTAATGATGAGATGGAGATGTTGTACGATGAAGATGACTTGTGTAACATCTTGTTCTGGACTAGTTTTTTAACTCACAATATGGTAATAAAAACGCATCTTACTTAATTAATATAGTGGAAGACTTACTAAAAAGTATCACAATAGCTTACTTGTACGTGACTCAAACTTTTTCTTTCCTTTATCTTCATATTATGTAAATTGCCATTCCTAAAATATTTTTCACTTATTATAACTGTACAGTCTCATAACTGCACAGAATCCATACTTGATAATCTTGTGACCATATCTAATGATCAAACCACTATCCGAACATAATAACAAGTACTACTTCCGATAGAGTCTATTGACAATGTAACAATTGTAAATTGGACTAATTAGGGATTAAGTCCAACAAAAATCTTAAACCTGATATATAGAAAAGTCCAATATAAAAAATATCAATAGTATCAGAATCCATCCGTAGATTCCTACAACATTTGGCTCCGCGCCAACTCTTATCTAACTTACCTGTACACATACATGCTTTTTACATATCACGTCCAAACATATAATTGCATAATCTCATATAGAGATATGTTTCCCAAAGCATATATATATATACATACATACTATATATCCATCATAAACAGACGTATATACAAATACATGATCCTATGCCATGCTCAAAACTATACAGTCATCCACTTCTCACGTAGCTTATCAAATTTCACATCCTTATATATCATATTATTCACTACTAAACCACATTCTCATCGTTCTTTTTCATACACACATGATCAAATACTTGATCCTCACTATTTTCTTGTTACATGGCCAAATGGCCTACAATAGAGTCTATGAATTTTCTTCAAACTTAAACTAGTTATTCATCACCTTTTCATCAACAAATCATCTAATAATTATGCTTTCAGATAGGCATTTTATCAAATACATAGTCTTCCCCATTTAAGCATGACTTGGCCAAATGGCCCTTATGTAGGTTCCATGAATTTAACAGGTTCTGCATGGTTCCTAAATGATTCCTTTAACATCACACCATTATATAAACCTCAATTCTCCTTTGCATTTCAACAAACACTTCATCTACACTCTTTTATCCATGTATGGTTAAATCGCATATAAACATAGGTAATCCATTTCAAGCTTATATCATCCACTCATGCTAGTTTCAAACAAACCAATCACTAACATAACATAAACCCCTATATAAACCCAATCAAATATCATCATCATCATCATCATAAAATCAACCCCGAAAAACATCAAAACATAAGTCCATATCCAAAAATTCAACCATTACAATTCAAGGACCATACCTTGAATAGCTTCTCAACCAATTAGAGCTTGTTTTCCAACACTCAAACTTTGAAAACAATCATCTTTTGCCTCATGAATAGTACCAGGTCACATGGAAAAGAAGGAAGAATCATCCACATAACAACCCTCTCTAGGTGAATAAAAGACTAGGTTATATTCCTAAGGTCAAGGGCTTTAATTTTCATGAAGATGGTTAAGTGTGTCATGAACTAAAACTAGAAGAAATGAGCTTGACAAGTCCTCACATGGAG